ACCTGTCTTTGGAGGTCGTGGATTTGTCCCTTTCGTCCCTGGCTCTCCAACTGAGAGAGACCCTCCTGATCTCAGTAGAGCTTGAGAGAGGAACAACAAAGAAACAAAGAAGCTTTTTTTGTAGAAAAAGGTGATTGAAATTATGATTTTTTTTTAATTTGTGATATTGTTTGTGAGGACAGAAAGCTGTCCCTACGTTTTGTGAACGTAAAGCAAAAACTTTGAAAGGGTTTTGATTGATGTATATTCATTCACTTTTTTTGTTGTAACTCTTGTAAGTTGGAACAATCTGTTGTTTTGTTTTAATTGCGTTAATACATGAATCACTTGTCTTTGTTCTTGTCTTTTCTCAAGTGTGTCATGTTTGTATGTCTTTGCCCTAGTGTTTTTTTTTTTTTGTGTCAATCATTTGGACTAGTACTACAAAAGCTTTATTTTAAATCATCAGACTGGAGGAACAGATAGATTCACAAGATTTATAAAAGACAAAGCAGCATGATGCTACTTGCTACAATGTTAACTCGAGTATACAGACACACACACAAATACTATTTTCATGAACACAAAACTAGAACACTAAGAAAGTAAACCAAAGCATTAAAAAACGACAATACCTTGACTCCTAAGCGACCTTACCCAACTTCTATTTACAGTTTCAGAATATCATGAAAGTATTTGTTACACCTATTCTCAGTCAGCATCCTTCATCTATGAGTAGTATGTATTCTCCAAGATCAGATGTTCTTCCTGCAGCAAACCCGTTCACATCGGAGAAAGCGGGAGAGAAGAAGGATAGTACGGTATAGTTAACACATGATTCCATATAACACTGCAAGCATTTTTGAGTTTTTTTAGTGTTCCTAGGCCTGGGGAATAAAATTGGAACCGAACGGCATCCAAATAAACAAGATTAAGTTTTTTAATATGAAATAAAATGGCATTAAATCCACTTAAACACAGATTAAACAAGAAAAATAATAACTAGATAATAATCCGTGTCTTGTGCGGAATGAAATTATTAGTTTCATAGTTCTTAAGATAAAGAAGATACTAGGTCTGTTTAGTCTGGATATCGATTCCATTTTATGTTATTTTTGTTTTGATTTTAATCTCCTAAAATATAATTATCATTCTAAATCTGTATTTATTTTGATTTTATTCGGTTAAAATGTTTGATGTTTTTTTTATTTTTCGGTGATAACCAAAAACTATTATTTATTGTTTGGTTTCATGTTATAAAAATTTTAAACACTCATGATGTCGAACAAATAGTATCCTATTATAATTTTTAAAGGCATACAAAATCATCAAATCTAAATAATAGTTGAACAAAAAGAACATAAAATTATTAAGATAAATTATTTCACTATAATTTGATCGATGGTGAAAAGCAACATTAAAAATATTTCAATTTCCGGTAGAATTTTAAACCTTATTTATGGTTAATATTTAGTTATATAGTGACTTATGTCAATGTGTACAAGTATGTTAAACTATATACATGTGTCAATTGTTGTGTGAACACATTTATTAAAATACTTCTCTTTTAATATATAAAGAATTATCACTATGACACTATACCATATTATCTTTTATGTAATCTCTTATATTATAAATATATATCATATTTCTATATTAAAATACAGTAAATATTTATAAAATTAATATTTTACTGATTCGAACTCTTGTTGGATTAACAAATGTGTAAGTGTGTAAATAATAGACAATTTAAATTAACATATTAAATAAAATTATTTGTATATATATATATATACTAGGTGATTTTCCCGTGCTCATGCACGGATATGAATATTCATAAATGTAAAATTTTATAATAATTTGGATATTTAATTTTAGTTTTAAATCAATTTATATATATAGTTTATATTACTAAATATTATATTATTCTAATTATACATATATATGACTTTGGATATATTATTGTCGGTTTAGTTACTTTTTGGATCAATAGTCGGTTTGGTTATCAATTCGGTATATTTGATAA